TCATCCTTACATTTTATAATCAGCTGTATTAACATATAGAACAATAGAAGGCACATATTGCCGCCTCACACACTATTTGGACTAGAGAATTTGCTACTTTTTACTGGGACTACTCTCCTAGTCCTCAACCAGCTCTATGAAGAGGCTTTATTCACTGTGTTTAAGGAAGTCACGTCTCTAGCTCCCCACCTCCACCATAAACCTCCAGAGGGCATAATTGTGTCTTCTATCCCCCACAGTCTGTGTGTCCATAAATATTCTTCACGTTGAACTGAACAAGGTGTGAGCAAACAGGAAGTGTCCTGGTGGCTATTGGAAGGGGAGTCTTCCACTGGTTCATTTAAAGGGGAAATATTACCTGTTGCTGCAGGTGATAATTAGGGTTTATTAGAGTGAAGAGAAAAAGAGAAGAAACATTATCCCCTCTAATTTGCATTTTTTTTTCATCTTGGAGAAAATGGAAAAAAAGAAAGTCATGTCTCTTTGGGTATCCCATTATCACCAAAGAAAAGAAATTTGGAGAATCTGGAAAGAAATTTGAGGTGTCTTTGATTTTACCATATTTGCAAAGACAACATGTTAGCCTGATAATTTCATGGGTTTGGGCAAAAATAAATAAAATTTAAATGCCTTAATATGATACAAAATACTTTATCTTTCATGACATAACAGGCAACTAGAGTTTCATGATTATCTATGTTCACCTTGTCCACCCCGAATTCCACAGGGTGATGCAAAGAGATCCAGGTGGATGCTGTGCATGGGAGAGGTTTGGATCACAGCTGAGGATTCCTTAGTTCAAGATACCCCAATCTCTTAAAATGAGTTGCAAGCAATCCTGCCCAATATTTGATCAGAGGGAGTCATTATCTTTATTATATTAGTTAGGCAATTATTCTGCCCTGTGCCCCAGTGAGAGACACTGCTTACATCTTCCAATTCAGTGTGGTAAAAAATTCTTGATAAGAGAATGTAAGCAGACGTTGTTTCTGTCAAGGACCTGAAACTTACTACAGATGAGGAAAAGCAAAGCCTGGTATTATCCCTCTGGACAGAATGTTTAATCCAAGTAGTCTAGTGCCTTTGCTTCTTTTTTAATATGTATATATAAATAGTAGACACTTGATTCTGCAAAGATTTATGTGCTAGGGAGCCCCTGTTGCTTTGAACCAAGGACATAATGAATGTACCTTTCCTTACCTGTGTATCTAATAACATGAGACCTACCTGTTACAGGTGACCAGTTGGCCATATGTACTAACAGAGGTACATAAAAGAAAGAACAGCAAATTACTAAATGTCCCAGAAGGTGACAAAAACCGTACTTCTTGACAAGTTTATTTAATCCAGTGTGGTAGAACAGGCACAGCTCAATAAATGTATCATTTAAATTTAGAAAAAAAGAAAAGAAAATCAATAAGGCAACAATGGCCTTAAATGACACAATATACCAGTTGGACTTAGTAGATACATTACAGGACATTACATCCAAAAACAGCAGAATATACATTATTTTCAAGTATATATGAAACATTCTCCAGAACAGATCACATGTTAAGCCACAGAAAATATAGGTCAATATCTGTAATGAATATAGATGCAAAAATCCTCAACAAAATATTAGCAAACTGGAATCCAACAATATATTGAAAGGATCATACACCATAACCCAGTTGAATTTCTTCCAGGGTCACGAGGATGGTTCAACTGTCACTATTTGCAGATGACATGATACTTCATATAGAAAACCCTAAAGTCTCTACCCACAACTATTAGAACTAATAAATGAATTCAGCCAAGTTGCAGGATACAAGATTAATATACAGAAATCTATTGCTTTTCTATACACTAATAATGAACTATCAGAAAGCTAAAGTAAAAAAAAAAAAATCCCATTTAAAATCACAACATCCGAAGCCAGTCCCCGGAAACAGGAGAGGCCACAGCAGTGAGACGCCCAAGTCACTAAGGCAAAAAAAAAAAAAAAAAATCACAACAAAAAGAATAAAATATCTAGGAATAAACTTACCCAAGGAAGTGAAAGACCTATGTTCTAAAAACTATAAAACACTAGTGAAGGAAATTGAAAATGATACAAAGAAAGGGAAAGATATCCAGTATTCATGGATTGGAAGAATAGTGTTAAAATAGCCATACAACCTAAAGCAATCTACAAATTTAAGGCAATTTCTTTTTTTTTAAATAAATTTATTTACTTATTTTATTTATTTTTGGCTGTGCTGCGTCTTCGTTGCTGCCCGCTAGCTTTCTCTAGTTGCAGAGAGCAGGGGCTACTCTTTGTTGCAGTGGGCATGCTTCTCATTGCGGTGGCTTCTCTTCTTCTGGAGCACAGGCTCTAGGCCTGCAGGCTTCAGGAGTTGTGGCACATGGGCTCAGTAGTTGTGGCTCGTGGGCTCTAGAGCGCAGGCTCAGTAGTTGTGGCACACGGGCTTAGTTGCTCCACGGCATGTGGGATCTTCCCGGACCAGGGCTTGAACCTGTGTCTCCTGCATTGGCAGGCAGATTCTTAACCACTGCGCCACCAGAGAAGTCCTTAAGGCAATTTCTATCAAAATACCCATTACATTTTTCACAGAACTAGAACAAATAATACTAAAATTTATGTGGAACCACAAAAGACCCTGAACAGCCAAAGCAATTCTGAGAAAATCGAACAAAGCTGGAGGTATCACACTACCTGACTTCAGACTATACTACAAAGCTGCAGTAATCAAAACAGTATGGTAGGGACTTCCCTACCATACAAACAAACGAGACCTAATTAAACTTAAAAGCTTTGCATAGCAAAGGAAAACATCAACAGAATGAAAAGACAACCTACTGAATGGGACAAAATATTTGCAAATGATATGTCTGAAAAGGGGTTAATATCCAAAATATATTAACAGCTCATACAACTCAATATCAAAAACAACAAGAACTCAATTAAAAAATGGGCAGAAGACCTGAATAGACATTTTTCCAAAGAAGACCTACAGATGGCCAAAAGGCACATGAAAAGATGCTCAACATTGCCAATCATCAGGGAAATGCAAATCAAAACTACAGTGAGATATCACCTTACACCTGTCAGAATGGCTGTGGTCAAAAAGACCACAAATAACAAATGTTGCCAAGGTATGGAGAACAGGGAACTCCAGTACACTGCTGATGTGAATGTAAACTGGTGCATGTAGCCATCATGGAAAACAGTATGGAGGTTCCCCAGAAAACTAAAAATAGAACTACCCTATGATCCAGCAATTCCACTCCTGGGTATATATCTAAGAAAATAAAAACACTAATTAAAAAAGATACATGCACCCCAATATTCATAGCAGCATGATTTACAACAGCCAAGATATGGAAGCAACTCTATGTGTCTATCCATGGATAAATGGATAAACAAGATGTGGTTTATATATTCAATGGAATATTACTCAGCCATAAAAAAGATGAAATTTTAGCTATTTGCAACAACATGGATAGACCTGGAGGGATTACGCTTAGTGAAATAAGTCAAACAGAGAAAGACAAACACTGTACGCTGTCACTTACATGTGGAATCTAAATAAGAAAACAAATGAATAAATATAACAAAATGGAAATAGACACATACAGAAAGAACAAACTAGCGGTTATCAGTGGGAGGAGTACTGCGGCAGGGGCAAGATAAGGGTTGTGGATTAAGAGGTACACACTACCATGTTTAAAACAAATAAGATACAAAGATATATTGTACAGCACAGGGAATATAGCCAATATTTTAATAACTTTAAATGGAGTATAATCTATAAAAATATTATATCACTATGTTGTACATCTGAAATTAATACAATATGTAAATCAACTAGAATAAAAAATAAAGAAAAGATTAGAATAATCTAGGGAAATGCCATCCCTACACAAAAATGCATAAACAATTGAGAGTATTGGTTTATGTTAAATGCCTCTGTGTTTCACTTGGTCCCATTAGAAGATCAATAAAACCTGTTTGAAAAACAACAAAAACAATTTATGGGAGGCAGGTAAATCCCCAGCATAGAAACTGAGCTCTTTCATAGTAGAGGTGTTAATAAGATGGGATGAGATCTTAGCACAAAATTCGTAGGCACCTTAGAAAGTAAATATGACTATTACTGACTCACAGCAAATAGACCTAAATTAAACTAATACATAAACAGTATAAAACAGCATGATATACAAAAAGAGAACACTTACTGAAAGATTTCTTGGCCTTCCTTATTGCAAGCAATGCCTGTATCATAATTGATGGAAACCAGGTATGTCAGCCTAAAATATGCCTCTTTGACATAAAAATTATTTTGAGCTGAAGGCAATTAAGAAGCGGTAAACATACAGAAAGATCTCCCTTCTCTGTCCAAAGGCAGGAACTAAATTCTTCTTTTAATGGAGATAGACTCTTACCAGTCCACAGATGGCACCAGAGGAATCTGCAAACAAACCTCATTAAATGAAGATAAGGATTACCAGGCCCTAATTGGACTATCACTAGCCTATTGCACTGTCAGTACTTCACAAATTTATCCTTTCTTTGTCTAAAAGGTATAAAAGCTTCCTGCTCTGGTTACTTCTTCAGGGCTTCATTCTCTTCTGAAAGCTCTCATGTACATGTAAAAATTTAATAAAATTTGCATGCTTTTCTCCCGTTAAAATAATAATAATAATTTTAAAAAGAAAAGAAATCTGAACGGCCGGTAGGTCTCCCAGCATTTACAAATTCTGCGACTCTGAAATACGCTCCCTCCCAAGTCACGGCTCCTCTAGAGGCAGGGCGAGAAGCCTTCCGAAGGCCTGTGTATTACCCAAGGTGCGAACTACATTTCCCAGAAGTCTCTGAGGCACAGCTCTATTAGTGCCATTGTGGAGTTGCATGCTGGGAAAGAGAGGCCGTGCGTTTTCAGCTCCGCGGATTCCCGGGTTTATGGACTACGTTTCCCAGAGGGCTCTGGGGCACAGCCCCATTAGCAACTCGGGGAGTTGCATGCTGGGAGATGCGCTTTCTGCCAGAAGGATTTTTATTGAAGCTTTGGTTTGCCGGTGACCCTGTCCGGAGGTAACCTCAACGCCGGCGCTCCCTCCCGACGCCGTCGGTTGTTGGGCCCCAAGCGGTGAGTAATTAGCATCCCATGAGGAAAACAGAGCGGAATACGGCGAGCGATGGCGATGAGGGAGAAGAAGAGGCCCGAAACGGAGCCTCGGCCTCTGGCTTCGGGAGCGCTGCGGAGGAAGTGCGAGCGTGTGCGTGTGTGTATGTCTGTGTGTGTGTGTGATCAGGGGCTCGGCCATGTCTGCAGACTGAGATGTGCGCGTGGGCGTCGGTGAGGGAGACAGGCCCGGTCCTTGTGTTTGTGACGCACTTGGGCGAGTGTGTGTAGCGGGGGGACGAGACGTGGCCCCTCCCGGTTTGTGTGCGTCCTGTGCGTGTGAGCATCTGTAGCGGTGACGCGGCCGGGCTGTGACTCCTCCACTGTGCTCTGTGTGAGTTACATGCGTGTGGGCTCTGCGGGGGTGGCGGGGCCCAGATGTGTCCCCGAGGCTATGAGATGTGCCGTTGCATTTCTGTGGGGTTGGCGCAGCCGTGTACCATGTCTCTGGCGTGGGCGTCAGCCAGTGTGACAGAGCCTAGGTGTATGTGATTGTTCAGCTGTGACAGGTGCAGGACTGTTCTTGGGTGTGTGGCCCCGGATTGAGTGTGTAGCTCTGATGTCTCTGCTGCTTCCTCTCCGTTCACGTTCCAACGATGCGGGTACTTGTTTGGGCACAGTGGCCCCAAGGGAAAGTCAGAGCCTGAATGCTGTAGTGAAAATGACAAGAATGGCACAGACATGGTTATGAGATGGCAGCTTTGGAGCTAGAGGTGCTCTCCATCTAAAATTCAGGCTACCTGAATGACAGAATGGAAGGGCCTCTGGAATAAGATTCTTTTTTGGAAAGGAGAGGTCCCTGACCTAGGAGGTGGGGGTACCCCAATTCCTAGAGTCTAGTTTCCACGAATCTCTGAAATACTCAGATGTGGGTGCCCTCTTATTTCTGATTGGTTTTAGATAAGACATGGGAGCAGGTGTGGCCTCAGGGCATTTTCGGATGTAGTCTGTGCTCCAGAAAAGTCCTAATGTCTCATTCTGACCTCTCTTTCCTCTAGGCCAGCTGTCCTCCAGAAAAAGCATCCCAAGGAGAAAGAATCATCATCATCACAGATCTTGAAATCAAGGTTCAGATGAGTTATCTTCTTGTTCAGTAAATGATTTGTGTTTATAGCGCTTAAGAATATTTGCTTTCCTTGCCCCGAAATGTCCTTTTTAATAGTGACTTGACCCAGTAATTTCTTCCCAAGAGGTGTGACAAGAGTCGTGAATGTGTATTCCCCATTGACCAACCGTCTCAGTGAGTACTCACATATTCAATAAGCAAATTGTTCACATCCTCCTGTGTGGTCTTCCAAGACTCCGCTAGGATCGAGGAATACTACTGGGAGGTTACTGTTAGCACTTTTAGTGTGTGATTTGCTAAGGAGGATATTAAATTTTTAGGTGGAATCAAAGGCTAGATATCTTGGTCTTTTCCACAGGGCTGACTTTCAGAGCACAGTAAGAAAAGAGAAGGTTTGATTGTTTTAGTCAGTTAATGACAAAGTTACCAGTTTTGTGAGGCGCTTTTTTTTTTTTTTTTTTTCAGTATGCGGGCCCCTCCCTGTTGTTGCCTCTCCCGTTGCGGAGCACAGGCTCCGGACGCGCAGGCCCAGCGGCCACTCCGCGGCACGCAGGATCCTCCCGGACCGGGGCACGAACCCACGTCCCCTGCATCGGCAGGCAGACTCCTAACCACTGCACCACCAGGGAAGCCCCCTGCGAGGCTTTTAAGGGTGGGGTTTGAGCAAAGGTCTTTGTCATCAAAGGCAAGGATTTTTTTTTTCCAGTAATCAATAAATAGAAATTTGTTGTATTAGCCAGGTCTTATTTGAGGTTTGACAGTGTCCATATGTTTCGGTTATATCTTTGTATGAACTGTGAGAAGCAGTACGGTTTGATGCTGATTACAAGTTTTGGATCCAGAGCAGGGTTTGGCAAACTTTTTCTCTAAAGGGTCACATATTAAATATTTCATGCTTTGTGGGCTACGTATGGTTGCATATTGTTCTTCTTTCATAGATTTTATTTTTTAGAATGGTCTTAGATTTAAAGAAAAATTGCAAAGATAATACAGAGAATTCCCAGGTACCCTGCACCCAGTTTCTTCTATTATTAACAACTCAGTTCTGAACCATTATCATTAATTGATGTCTTTGCTGTATTCAGATTTCCTTACTTTTTACATAATGGTTTTCATCTGTTCCAGGATCCCGTCCAGGATACCACATTACATTTCGTTGTCATGTTTCGTTAAGGTCCTCTTGGCTGTGCCCATTTCTGACTTCCATTGTTTCTGACGACTGTGACATTTTTAAGTGGTACTGGTCAGGTATTTTGTAGGATGACCCTCTATTGGAATGCGATGTTTTCCTGATGATTAGACTGGGTTTATGGGTTTGGGGGTGGAAGATCACAGCAGTAAATTACCACTTTCATCACATCATAGCAAGAAGACGTACTATCAACAAGATTTGTGATTGGTGAGGTTGAACTTGATCATCTGGCTTAGGTAGTGTTTGTCAGTTTCCTCCACTGTAAAGTTATTCCTTTTTTTCAAAGACTGTGTCCCCCTGAGTGACGACTGCATATTTCAAAACCCCAAGTACTAGACCCTTGTCACTCTGACTCTGCTTCTGTCCTCACATCTTTCTCTCCTCTTTCATCCCCCTTACTCACTTTTGAAGACCCTCGTGATTACACGGGGCCCACCTGGCATAATTCAGGATAATCTCCCTATTTTAAGGTCAGATGATTCAGGACTTTAAGTCCCTTTGCAACCTAACTCCCTTTTGCTGTGTAATGTAACATATTCACAGGTTCCAGGATTAGGACGTGGACATCTTTGGGAGACTGTTCTTTTGCCTACCACAGACCTGTCTATTCAAAGTTCACTTAATGGCTGCAACATACCTGCCCCCTCATAACTGTAGTCCTTTTCTTTGTTAATTTTTTTAAAAAATTTGGGACTATCTTAAGGTATATTTTTTTTTTTTTTTTTTTTTTTGCGGTACACGGGCCTCTCACTGTTGTGGCCTCTCCCGTTGCGGAGCACAGGCTCCGGACGCGCAGGCTCAGCGGCCATGGCTCACGGGCCCAGCCACTCTGTGGCATGTGGGATCTTCCCGGACCGGGGCACGAACCCGCGTCCCCTGCATCAGCAGGCGGACTCTCAACCACTGCGCCACCAGGGAAGCCCCAAAGCCAAATTCTTAATCTATATTCCCCCATCAGGGAGCCGGCCAGGAATCCTCCCACTGAAATTTCTGGATCTGACTTCAAGACAAAAAATAAAAGTTCCTCTGTCCTGTCTGTGCAGCTGGCTTTCCTGGGGTTTCAGGGAAAACTTGTTTTGTTTTTTTCCAGAATCCTTTTAATCTTCAGATGTGCTGTGTTTATGTGGGGGGCCTTGTGGGGGAAGAAGATGAGCATTCTTTGGAAGAAAAGATGGAGGAGTGAAAAGGTTGTATTAAGTCATTTGGAGACCAAGGTGCACTTATTTTAATGCCTCTTTTTCCTTGTCTAGATCTGGCTTCTCTGGATTTTGTGTCTTCAGTAAAGGAGACCCCAAGAGGACCGATCAGGTCTTGAATTCTAAAACCATGGCCCACGTAAGTATGTTTTTCTCTTTCCTTCTTGAATTGTGATATTTAGGTCCTGTGGATACTTCTTTGAAATATCATGAAGGCTCCTGCCCAAGTGAGTCCCATCCAAGTACCTACTTCCCAGCTCTCCCTGTTCCAGTGAATAATAACGCCATATAGCCTATTGCCCGCCTCTGTGACTAATGCTCACTTAACCCTTGAGCTAGTTACTCAGTATCTCTTATGTACTCACTTTTTTGTCAAGAGTAATTGGAACAGTGGAAGCAGAAACTACCTTTGGAGAAACAGTTGAGTCCAGTCTACGATTTGATGAGTTGGAGACATTGGTCCCATTTGACCACACGAGAAAACTAGAATTCCTCACTCATCTCCACTGATCTTTTTCCCAGGCAGATAAGAGGGAACATTCATATTCTTTGGTCTCAGTCTTAGTGTGTAGTGAAAGCTCGCACTTTACGAAGCTTTTAGAATTGCGTAGAGCTGTGGACTCAGAGATCATGTTCCTGCCAGGGGACCCGGGAGATAAATTTTGTTTTGCACAGACCTGTCTGTATGCTCCTGAATCATTTGATACCAGTTTCCTCTAAATCAGGAACAAAGAAAAGGCAAGGCTAGCGGATGGTAACAGGTAAGAAGGTCATTTCATACAAGAGTAATGATCATATACTCCTGGAATTGGGGAAACTTTAGACATTTTGCTCAACCTAAGTGTGTAACTATCATAATTAAATCTAATCCTTCTCTATGATGGAATAAAAAAATGCTTTTGTCATTACAAAGGTGGACTGCTTAAAAGATAACCTGGCAAAATGATGAACCCGAGACTTGAAAACATTCAAACATGCAAACCTGATTTTCTAAGATAAAAGATCTTATATTACATTTGGGAAGTAAACCCCAGACATTTTTTTTCTTTCTCCTTAAGGAGAAAAGGATGCTGTAAGAATCCATGCTTGCTGAAAATTCGCGAGACAGGCCCGTTAGCAGGCTCTGTGCTTATGCAACAGAGGAAAACTGGAATTGGCTTGTCCATTTCCTGACAGGTTGGCATGATTAAGAATTCCCCAGGGGCTTCCCTGGTGGCGCAGTGGTTAAGAATCCGCCTGCCAAGGCAGGGGACACGGGTTCGAGCCCTGGTCCGGGAAGATCCCACATGCTGTGGAGCAACGAAGCCCGTGCGCCACAACTACTGAGCCCGTGCTCTGCAACGAGAAGCCACTGCAATGAGAAGCCTGCGCACCGCAACGAAGAGTAGCCCCCGCTCGCCGCAACCAGAGGAGAGCCTGCGCACAGCAACAAAGACCCAACACAGCCAAGAATAAAATAAATAAAGGGCTTCCCTGGTGGCGCAGTGGTTGAGAGTCCGCCTGCCGATGCAGGGGACACGGGTTCGTGCCCCGGTCCAGGAAGATCCCACGTGCTGTGGAGCAGCTGGGCCCGTGAGCCATGGCCGCTGAGCCTGTGCGTCCGGAGCCTGTACTCCGCAACGGGAGAGGCCACAACAGTGAGAGGCAGGTGTACTGCAAAAAATAATAATAATAATATAATAAAATATATAAAAATTTTTAAAAAAAAAAGAATTCCCCAGGGTGTAGGTGGTTTCCCTTGCAGCAGGAGGGGCTTCAGCCACCGTCATGTCCTCACTGACCCCTCCCCATATCACAGGCTTTTAATCTACTCGCTGTATCCACCCCTGCACAGAGCGGAGCCCTTCCTCCCCCCTCCTCCATCTGGAAACTCTGTGCTTTCGTTTCATCAGAGACGTGTGGGTTTGCGTTTCCAGGGTTTGGTGACATTCTCCGATGTAGCCATAGACTTCTCTCAGGAGGAGTGGGCATGTCTGGACTCTACGCAGAGAGACCTGTACTGGGACGTGATGTTGGAGAACTACAGTAACTTGGTCTCGCTGGGTAAGTTGCCTGCCTCAGATAATCTGGACTCTGCTCCCTGCACAGTCAGCTCTCTCCTTTCAGGACCACCTTTCAAGATACTAGTTGAATTTCTTTCTTCCTGCACCCAAGGGATGTTTTGAGCTTTGTGCAGTTGGAAATGGGCGTTACGCATGCACCTTCACCTCCTCATCCATCAGTGATCTTCCCATCTCTGTCTGGCCCCTCCTGTAATTACCTCTCTTCCTTACTGGCCAAAGGACTGATTAGAGTTATTTAATTTATTAGAATAAACGTATTTATTTTATTTCATGACCATCTTCAAAGAAACCAGGCTTCATGCTGTGAGCCTATGTTTACACCCAAATTGCTGTCGATGGTACTTTGGGGACCCACCTTTAGGGGAAATGGCTCTACACAGTGACTTGATTTTCTCTGGCAAACCAGACTCTGTGTTTGAGGTAGAGGTGGGATGAATGAACAGAATCTGTAAAACCACACTGAGCATATTGCATTCCCTACACATTGTACCCGAAGTGAGGTCGAAAGTTATAATCTATGAATTCTGAGTTAAATATTGGATGATAAATATGTAAGGAAATTTCTTGTTTTTCTATTAGCAAAATAACAGCCATAATATTAATGGCTAATAAATACTGTGCTTGCTCTGCACCAGAAAACATTCTGAGCCTGGTGTGTATGTATATGTACAAATACGTTTCATTCCGTTCTCACAAGTTCATGAGCTAGGAAATTATTACGTCTAATTCGTAGATGAGTATACTAGGGCACAAAGTGACTTAATCAAGGAAGCAGAAGCAAACCTGGAACCTAAGAATTCTGGCCCCAGAATCCGTACTCTCAACTGCCCGGTTCTGCTTGCCTCCAGAAGTTTAAATAAAGACCTTTTCGGGAATTCCCTGGCGGTCCAGTGGTTAGGACTCGGCACTGTCACTGCTGTGGGCCTGGGTTCAATTCCTGGTCGGGGACCTAAGATCCTGCAAGCCTCGACACAAGACCAAAAAATAAACATAAAAATAAATAAATTTTTTTAACTGTTTTAAAAAATGAAGTAAATGTAAAATAGAATAGAATAAAATAGCCCTTTTCCCTACCCATCTGGTTTCCTGTTTGTCCTCCAGGCCTTTCTCTTTTCCTGAAGTCAGTTTTAGGTTGTTACACAAATTTGACTAAAGTGCAATCAGAAAACCTTAAGCCAACAGTTTTCTCCTAAGTTCACATCATGTGGCATTTCTGTTTTTGAAAGCAAGACATCTCATTTCTAAACCAGACACAATTGTCTTATGGAAGCAAGGGAGAGAGCTTCGATAGTTGAGGAGAAAAGACACTAAAGTGGTGCAGAGGAGAGCGACAGCCAGCCCGGCTCGGGAAAGCCATCATTACCACAAGCGGCCCAGCTGGGCAGGGGGCAGCTGCACCCCTGAGGTGTTTGCAGAGCTCCCTACAAAGGTCTCAGGCCCAAGGCCTCTGAGGAAGAAGTCACCACCTTGAACTTTATCTTCACCCCATTCCCGTCTCAATTTGTTTTCCTTCTCATGTTTCACCCCTACTGAGTAGCAAGGGCGTAGAAAACAGGACCCTGTGCCATTCAGTTTCTGAAAGTTGGTTGTTATCCTAGCTTCATGTGCTTTTTTCCTTTGTATCTGTTTTTTGGTGATACTGCTTCCTGGGTTCTCTGTTCTTCCATCACGAAGCAATATCTGCTTATGTCTCTTTTGATGCTGTGTTAGCAGTCACTGACACTCAGTACCTAGATTCAGTATTTCATTGGGGGTTCAAAATGGTGGTATTCTATCATTGCCTCTTCATTTTTTCACTATAAATAATTCTTTGAAGAGAAACTGACCCACCTGCTAATTGGTTGTGTAGTGGAACTGCTCATATTGGATAAGAAAGATGAAAACTTTGCTCTTTAAAGAAAAAAAACTATCAGTTTTTAATAACAAAGGGCTGGTTTCCTAGCATGCTCCAAAGTTGGCCATTTAACATGTTTTAGTATCTGAACGAACTCATGAACTTAAACATGTTTTACAGTCCCTTGAGTTAGCATCCTTTTTTTTTTTGGCGGTACGCGGGCCTCTCACTGCTGTGGCCTCTCCTGTTGCGGAGCGCAGGCTCCGGACGCGCAGACTCAGCAGCCATGGCTCACAGGCCCAGCCGCTCCGCGGCATGTGGGATCTTCCCGGACTGGGGCACGAACCCGTGTCCCCTGCATCGGCAGGCGGACTCTCAACCACTGCGCCACCAGGGAAGCCCCTAGCATCCTTATTAATGCTCAGGTTTTTCTAAACATTTCCTCCTGTTTCATAATTTTTATTATTAAATTTAATTCTACACACATCTTTTGAATGTTGGATCTTTGTATCCAGAATTACTTTTAATGATATTACTTGTGTTTTTGTGTGTATACACAACTATCCAACTGTATCTTTTTATTTTCCTACAATAGTTCTAGATTTGATCTTCTTGGTTTTCCAGGTTTGTCATCACATCTATAAATTGTACTTTTTCATCTTCATTTTTGAGATTTGTCCCTCTAACTTTTTTTTTTTGCTTAATTGTTTCAGCTGGTAGGAAACAGTAGCGCTGATAGTAAGTGCCTTTTTTGATTTTAGCGGGGATGTCTCCAGTGTTTCCTCATTAAGTATTGTGATGCTAGACGTGGAATCTAGATCTTAATAAGAGCCCTAGGTGATTCATATTTTTCCCACTGGAGCAGTTTTATTTCTGTTAGAGAAGGTTTTAGTTTATGATTAGGTTTGTTTTTGTTTTCTTAAAAAGAAACAAAATATGTTGGGGTTTTGGGGGGTTTTTGTTCGTTTTGTTTTTTTCAGATTTGGAATCACCATATGAGACCAAGAGTCTACCTACACAGAAGGGCACTTATGAGATAAATTTTTCCAAACAGAACTCAAATAGAAAAAGTAAATCCCTTGGCCTTGACTGGATGTGTGAAGGTGAGTTTGAAGGACCACAGGCCCCACAAGAGGGATGTATCAATCAAATCAACTGTGGGCAAACGCCCACTTGCAGAGAAAATACCTCTGTCCGACCACATCAGAGACTTCATAACAGGGAAAATTCCTATGAATGTAAGGAATGTGGGAAGGCCTTTAGCCGAGGCTATCAACTTACTCAACATCAGAAAATTCACACTGGTGAGAAACCCTACGAATGTAAAGAATGTAAAAAGGCCTTCCGTTGGGGTAATCAACTTACTCAACATCAAAAAATTCACACTGGTGAGAAACCTTATGAATGTAAGGACTGCGGGAAGGCGTTTCGGTGGGGTTCAAGCCTCGTTATTCATAAGAGAATTCATACGGGTGAGAAGCCCTATGAATGTAAAGACTGTGGGAAGGCCTTCAGACGCGGTGATGAGCTCACTCAGCATCAGAGGTTTCACACCGGTGAGAAAGACTATGAATGCAAAGACTGTGGGAAGACCTTTAGCCGCGTGTATAAACTAATTCAGCATAAGAGAATCCACAGTGGTGAAAAACCCTACGAATGTAAAGACTGTGGGAAGGCCTTCATTTGTGGTTCCAGCCTCGTTCAACATAAGAGAATTCACACCGGTGAGAAGCCCTATGAGTGCCAAGAATGTGGGAAGGCCTTTACTCGCGTCAATTATCTCACTCAGCATCAGAAAATTCACACTGGCGAGAAACCTCATGAGTGTAAGGAATGTGGGAAGGCCTTCCGCTGGGGTTCGAGTCTCGTGAAACACGAGAGAATTCATACGGGAGAGAAGCCATATAAATGTACAGAATGTGGGAAGGCCTTTAACTGTGGCTATCACCTTACTCAGCATGAGAGAATCCACACTGGTGAAACGCCTTACAAATGTAAGGAATGTGGAAAGGCCTTTATTTATGGGTCAAGCCTTGTCAAACATGAGCGAATTCATACAGGGGAGAAACCCTACGAGTGTAAAGAATGTGGGAAGGCCTTCAGTCACGGCCATCAACTTATACAGCATCAGAAAATTCATACTGGTGAGAAACCCTCTGAGTGTAAGGAATGTGGAAAGGCATGTAAACGTATAGACCATCCTCCAGAACATCAGAGAATTCATGCTGTTGAGAAACCTTTTGGGTACAAAGAGCACACAGAGGCCTCTATTCAACATTCATTTCTTCCACGACAAGAGGAAAATCCATGATAAGACTTAACGCAAGAAAGCCTTCACTGGTCCCTCTTCTGCTTATAGAATATCAGAAGTCATATGAGAGGTGAATTTGGAGTATTGGAGAAATCACTTTTTCTCATCGATCACAACATACTCAGTTGTAGACTATTTTCTACTGGATAGGTTAGTTTCCTGAATGCGTAGAAACCTTCCAATACCATTTCATCTCTGTCGTATTTCAGATTTGTTCTAAGGTAAAACTCTGCTAATGGAGCATATGTGGGAGAGCTTTTCTCGTGGTACATACCACTACCTGTTTCCATCACCATCCCACCTCTTTACTCCCTGTGAGGCACTGAGAAAACTAGCTATCACTCTCTGTGCATTATCTGTGAAATGGCGATAATCACACCTACCTAATACTGCTGTTGTGGTGATTAAATGAGTTTGGTACATGTAAGCTCCTTGAACGTGTATCTGAAATGTTGTGTGAGCTCAATAAATATTAGCTGTTTTTGTTGTTCTCATTACCATTAACATTGCTATTAGTGAATTTTTACAAGAAGACCCCCTGCGGGTGCAGTGAGCTGAGAAAAGACTATCAAACTTCTAGAAGAAAATATGGGGAATTCCCTGGTGGTCCAGTGGTTAAGACTCCGTGCCTCCACTGCAGGGGGCACAGGTTTGACCGCTGGTTGGGGAACTGAGATCCCACAAGCCGTGTGGCGCGGCCAAAAATAAAAAATAGAAAATTTAGGAGATTATTGTCACAGCATTGGGGTAGGCAGCATTTCTTAGTGTACAGAAGACATTAAACAAAAAATAAAAAGTTATTAAGTTGGACTTCATCAAAAGTACAAAGTTCTGATCATCAAATGACACCATGAAGGTGGTGAAAAAGCAAGAAGACTGGGAGAAGATGTTTACATAAACCTGACAAAGGATTCACGAAGAAAGGATAAAAAGAATCCTTCAAGTCAATAATAAAACAACAAATCAATTAAAAGGTGGAGGGAGACTTACATAAGCACTTAAGATCACCAAATGGCAAATAAGTAAGTGCAGACGTGTTGAATGTCATCACTCAAGGATATGCAAAGTAAGATAATCACGTGATGTCACTAGACACGCACCAGAATGGCTGACGTTAAAATTGCTTATAAGCCAGTGTCTTTGTTCAAACATGGCCTGTTCAAGAAGGAACAGCGGCTTCCCTGGTGGCACAGTGGTTAAGAATCCTCCTGCCAATGCAGGGGACATGGGTTCGAGCCCTGGTCCGGGAAGATCCCACATGCAGCGGAGCAACTAAGCCTGTGAGTGACAACTACTGAAGCCCGCGTGCCACAACTACTGAAGTCCATGTGCCTAGAGCCCATGTTCTGCAACAACAGAAGCCACCGCAATGAGAAGCCCACGCATCACAATCAAGAGTAGCCCCCGCTCATCGCAACTAGAGAAAGCCTGCGCGCAGCAACGAAGACCCAATGCAGCCAAAAATAAATAAATAATAAATTTATAAAAAAGAAGGAACAGAATCAGCACTGGACCTCTCCAAATCCTGGAGTTCTGCAACAGGGATGGGAAGGTGATACTCAAGGGAGGCAGGTGGATTTGCCCTGGGGAGGGGGCCAGGGCCCAGGATCAAGTCCTTGGGAGAGCTCAGGGAGCAGACTCTGGAGGGACCTGAGCTGTCTTAAGAGGGTCAGTCCTAGAGTGAGAAAGTGGGTTGTCTTGGAGAAGGGACTTGAACCCATGGTGGGGAATCTAAGAGTATGGGTGGGAGAGGACTAGAGCCCATGGGAGTGAGTTTGAAAAGCTAGGGGTGGGGCTGATGGCCATGGGAGGGCCTGGTGCATTAGGAGGGAGGGGCTTGATCTCAGACAGGTCCTGGGAGGCTGGAGAAAAGGAGAGAGTCCAGGAGGGGAGCCTCTGAGAGCTGGAGAACTTGAATGCTATCCATGAATGTGGCCTGAGAGATCTAGGGTGGGTGCTACAGCCAGTGGGAGAACTGTGGCACAGGGGATGCCAGTGTGGTTAGAGCCCAGAGGAGTGCCTTATGAAGGCCGACAGAGGGTTCAGAATCAGGTTGACGTAGGCCTTAATGTTTGGTTTATCTCAGGGTTGGGGTTACATTTCAATTCAAGTTACTCTGTCCTTGGGTTACGTATACCTTAGTGTTAGGGTTAGGTTAAGGATTTGGATTCTCGGCAGGGAGGGAATGAGGGAACATGGAACATATTTGGGGAGAGGGATGCCAGACATATACAGACCATTCCACCAACAACAGAACACATATAGAACATTCTCCAGGATAGACCCTATGTTAGGCCACAAAATAATCTCAACAAATTGAAAAGATTAAAAGCACAGATTGAAACCTGACCACAATGTAATGAAACTAGAAATCAACAGAAGGAAAACAAGAATACTATATGGAAATTAAACCACACACTCTTAAGCAACAGATGGGTGAAAGAAGAAATCATAAGGGAAATTAGAAAATACATATAGGCGTGAAAATCCAAACAAACCACAACTTACAGGATGCAGTGAAAGGCACGCTCAGAAGACAGTTTATGGCAGGAAATGCCTACATTGAAAAAGAAGAAAGACCTCAAATCAGTAAACTAACTCTACATGGTAAGAAGCTAAAAAAAAGAACAAACAAAACCAAAAGCAACACAAGGGAGAAAATAATAGGGATTAGAGTAAAGTGAAATAGAGAATTTTTTTAATGATACGAAGAATCAGCAGAACCAGAAGTTGGTTCTTTGAGAAGATGAACAAAATGAGCAAAGCTTTAGCTAGATTGACCAAGGGGGGAAAAAGCTATGCAAAGAGAAGTCAAAGGTCACTAGAGATGCTTCCAGTCTCTTCTAGGTATGTGTGGCTAAAGGGAAACGTCACAAAAGCAAAGCAACTTGAACGCATTGACATTGCAAATAAATGGAATAAACGTGTGCATTCGGTTACACCAGACCAGGGTTCGCCAGAGTTTTTCTGTTGAGGGCCAAACAATAAATATTGTAGGTTTTGTAGGCCACGTATGCTCTGGACCACATGTTCCTCTTTATTTTTTTTATTATTTTTTTTTTTTTACAACCTTTTAAGAATAGAAACCACTCAGCCTCTAAACCAAACAGAATCAGGGCGACAGTCAAAAGATTTGAGCTATGGACCAGAGTCTACCTGACTGCTGCACTAAACCAATGGGTAAGCTTGGGAAGAGATTCTAGGTCAGCATTCTCCAGTTTGGTAACCAACAGCCACGTACAGTCTTGAGCACTTGAAGTGCGGCCAGGTAGTAAAGTTAAGTGTAAAATACACACTGAGATTTGCAGACTGTTCAGAAGTAAAAAAGGTCAAATATCTCATTAGTGAGTTTTACATGATACGTTTAAATGATAACATTTTGGATATTCTGAACTGAATAAAGTAACTGTGTCTGTTTCTTTTTTCTTGTTTAATGTGATACCAGGAATACTTTAATTACCTGTGTGGACGTCGTGTTTGTTTCTTCTGAAATTTGGCAACATTTTAAACGTGCATGTCTTTGACTCAACATTCCCACTTAAAAGAATATACTATTTTACAGCATTAATTAAAATTTTTCAGGGCCTCTCTAGCCTTCTGAGACGGCCCACACTCTGTCTGTGGAGTGTGTTTCTCTCTAAATAAATCCACTTCTTACCTATCACTTTGTCTCTCACTGAATTCTTTCTGTGATGAGACATCAAGAACCTGAACTTCATTAAGTCCTGAGACCAGGTGTGTGATCTCAATTTACAGACCTTGGGGGCTCCCCTGGTGGCGCAGTGGTTGAGAGTCCGCCTGCCGATGCAGGGGACGCGGGTTCGTGCCCCGGTCCGGGAAGATCCCACATGCCGCGGAGCGGCTGGGCCCGTGAGCCGTGGCCGCAGAGCCTGCGCGTCCGGAGCCTGTGCTCCGCAACGGGAGAGGCCACAACAGTGAGAGGCTCGCGTACCGCAAAAAAAATAAATATATAAAGACCCTGGGTTCAAGTCCCAGTCTGGGTTTTGGCTGGGTTCAATTCCCGGTGTGTGGGTTCAAGTCCCAAATCTGAGTTCCACGGTTTCAGCTGGCAAGCCACGAAGGGACAGTGATAAGCTAGACCAACTCCCTCTCATCGTCAACACCACTGGGGACACATTCTGTGCCATTTCTTTGAGACAACTTTTTGGGCACTCTAACACCTGGTTGGGAGACTGCCCGGGAAGGGATAGCATCTAAAATCTCTCGTCATTTATAGATAGATAGTTTTGTGCTCTAATGCTGTTAGAAAAAGTGCTTCATCATCAAGGAGATCATAGAAAGGCTATGGAAGCAGTTACAGCAGTTCCACATCAAGATGTATGGCTATGTGAGGATTCCAGCCCATACTGACTTAAAACAAGGAGCTGTCCTGCCCCTGGGCCCCTAGATCAGGCATCCAGAGATTTTTACTGACAGGAAGGGTCATTGTCCCTACTCAGCCTTGAAGCAGTTACAGATGACCATCACCCCTCTGCTTCCCATAAGAATAGGGAGTAAAATCTGAGAGGGGAATGAAATAGGAGGGAAAGGGGCAGGGCATAACCTTTGAAAGAATGACATAGCCTGAGGACATGACATAAACTGACTAGAACCAAATCGCTCCAAGATAGTAGACAAGTCAACTTCCACTAGACCTTGAACCTCAGTATACAGTATACCCTCACTGTAACACATCAGCAAGCTAAATGATGTAACCACAGGCACAGCTCCAACACTGATAAGGATCAAAAAGTGGGCAGTGGCCCAATTCCTGGAAATCCCCACCCCTTCCCCAAAATAGCTGGAATACTCCTCCCACTCAGCCTATGAAATTACCCACCCCTGTAAAAACCGACAGCCCCGTACCCCTGCCGCCTCTCTCACCTTCCAAGATGACCCATAGTCTGTCTGGGAAGTGTGTTTCCCTCTAAATAAATCCACTTCTTACCTAAAAAAAAAAAAAAAATTGGAATTCCCTGGCAGTCCAGTGGTTAGGACTCTGCACTTTCACTGCCAGGGGCCCAGGTTCAATCCCTAGTCGGGAAACCATGATCCCACAAGCCCTGCAGCACGGCCCAAAAAAAAAAAAAAAAATTTTTTTTAATCACTTAAAAGAAAATTTTCCATAGACACATATCACCTTCCCCAAAGAACCTCCTCTTATTCTCAGGAGCTCCTTAGCGAAAATCACATTGTTGACTTGCTGTGTTGTTTTGTTTCTCGTTTTTCTTTTGGCAGGGTGTGGGGATTATTCCAGTATCCATATGAAGCAAAACTCATGCACAAATGCATTGAAAACTTCCACATCTAGGTTATACGTGGTTATCCTGGAGGAACAGGCCGTCTTTTGCTAGACAGAATTCATATTCTTTAAATTATTGTGTAGGGAATTTCCTGGTGGTCCAGTGGTTAAGAATCCACCTTCCAATCAGGGGCCTTGGGGATCAAACCCCTGGTCGGGGAACTAAGATCCCACATGCCACAAGGCGACTTAGCCTGCGTGC